CTGTGGGGCTTTCCATAGAGCCGAGCGACCCCACTGACTCCGCCCCAGGGGTCCGCTGTGGTCTGGGCCGACCCCCTGACCCCGCTGCCATGACCCCGCTCCAGGATGCTCGCCTCTAGTAAATTGGTCATAACTCCTTCATTATATCTTCAAACGACTTGAAACCACTTTCATTAGAAAGCTAACTCAATTTTCTATGTCTCCACAAAATCTTAGCAACAGATGATATCTTTAAAGGCTCCATCCATGCTCATCTTTCAGCCCCTTTTGGATCACAATGCTCCTAAACATCTCAAATCACTCCATGGCACATTCCAACACCTAATAAGGACAATGAATGCAAAATGAAACCTAGACATGGCTAAATCCTAATCTATATGATGAAAATGCTCATGGATAAATGGGTAAAACAATGCAAATATGCAAGATATCAACTTGCTAGTTTGTCACAGATCTCAAGAGACAGTAGGAAACTTGACATAACATAAGTTGGAAGAGCCAGTGCAATCACTTTAATCAGCACCTCTTTTCCACCCTTGGTCAGCCATCTGCCATTCCATCCATTGATCATGTGATCCAATGTATCCTTTAGGAAGGCAAAGAGCTTGCATTTTGAACCACTAATGTCTTCTGGGATACCAAGGTATTTTCCCATTCCCCCTTTATTCTCAATACCCAGAGTGTCTTTGATCTGTTGTTTCAGTTCTTCAGGAATTTGCTTTCCAAAAAGGAACGAGGACTTTTCAAAGTTAATGCACTGTCCAGAGGCCTTGACTACTTTCATCACTTCATCACATTCACGGGGCTCCGCCTTACAAAAGAAAATGCTATCATCAGCAAATAGCAAGTGAGACACCGAGGGGCTAGCACGTGCAATGCGCATCCCCGATATCTTTCCTTGATTCTCTGCGTAATTAAGAAGGCTAACGTAGTATCTTTTATGAAGAGGAATCTACATAAAAAATTAGTTTACTGAATTATTTTTCTCAAATAGATTTACTCAAAACTTTTTTTAAACAGTTTAACAGATTACTAAATTTTCCAACTAAAGATGGTTATACTTTTTCGAAATCATCTAACACTATTAAAAGGACTTAATAAAGCCTTCTTAGAGCGTCCATGTTGACTGAAAAAAATCAGCCAATTATAACTATTATTGTTGCCAAGTCATTTTGGAAAAGGCAATCTCTTTTCATTTATTAAAAAATCATGCCATCTATTTTTATTCGCATTGTCTATCTCTCTTCGTCTTCTCCCCTACGCAAGAGTCAATTTCTTTTTACATTGATCTATTCATCTCCTTCCATCTCCTTCCATGCATAATCTTCTTTTTCGATTCAACATCATTGATTTAAACAAATACATAACTGTGAAATTTCACATTCAACCATGGCTCACCAAGCTAACGCGCAAAGTAGCCTCCATCTCCGGTGATGCGGAACCGCCGATTCATCACTTCCGCTATACTGTCTCCACCGCGAAGAATTCCATTGAACTGAAACTGGAATAAGCCAAGGCCTATAGCCATCTCGGTGCTAATCGGTAAGGATTCAATCTATGCGAGTAAGCTAACATTAGATTTGGGGTCAGCAATAGCAGGTGTGCAAGCTTCTATGCGCATCCCCTAATCAATCAGGCTCCATCTCTTTTCCCACTCTCTCAGTATCATGCATTTTCGCTCATGAATTTGTATGATGCATTTGTTTAGTAGGTTGGGAGTTGCATAAACATGGTAAGATTATTTGGACTCTCTAGAAGCATGTATAAATTCTTTTGATCCCGTTTAACATGTCAAGTGATGGTGGAGGTGGAGTGTACGTCCTCCATCTTCCCACTCCATAAGTCCTCTTTGCTCTATCTTTATTTCCTTTTGGTCTTCTGGTTTGGATCTGAGCAAAATCTTAGCTTTCCTCGGCCACAAATCCTCAGGTTAGTACATGATCAGACCTGTATATTTGTAGCCATCATATGCAATCGCGTTCTAATGGATTTGATAGAAATAAACGGTCTCTTGCTTTGTCAAAATGTGTTCCTTTACTTGTGACATGCATATAAGTCATTGTTTGTCATTTGGCATCATCCCTCTTAATTTCTTCATTTCGCTCACATAAACAAATTCTTATATTTACCTTCCAATAACTAATTATCACTACACTGACATAGGTAGCGAGTTTTGAATGCATCACTGACACATGTTATGATGAGTTACTAAGAGGTTATTATTTGTAAAGGTCATGATATATGACACATGAAAGGACTAAAGATGTATGATGAGTTACTAAAACAAGAGGAGTTATCCAAAATGACTGACCTTGTTGCATAACCCCGCGAAGCTCTCAGGTGAATTTTCCATCCTCCAATTTGTTAAGATCTTTTCTCTTACTACATGAATCTGGCCAAAACGAGAAACACATCAAAGACTTATAAAAGACTTTTGTGGTGCTTATTCATGAATATAGGTGAGAGATCTTCCTGTTTGACAAACAAATAAAGGGGAGTAAGAGAGCTGATTCAGCCGAATATTTGGCCATGTGAACAATGAAAACACCAACGAAAGCAACTATTCTGGTAAGAAATTTCTTTGATCTGCAGAACTCAATCTAATCGGTTTGGTCCAAGTGGCTTGACGGGGAGAGATCGTTGGTTTGCAGTTAACATTGGTTTAAATGGTATGTTATTGTTGACTTCCACAAGCTAAATCATATTTTTTTGTATGTTTTATCTTCTTTGTTTTTGTAGAAACTTTGGAAACAAGTTAAGAAAAAAAATGTTTCCAAATAAACTCTATACGCAGAACCTCTGTGTGGAACATGATGTCTTTTGCGGATTTTGAAGCAGACTGACGCCTCAGGATGATTTATATGGTAAGAAAGATTTTCTGTAAAGATCAAGCAGGTGTTACCACCCCCACGAAAATAATTTTTTTACTGATTGTGCTAGATGTCCTTGGCCACATCAACTAATCAAACTCTGGACGAAAGCCCGTTCTTGATGGAATAGATGGAGGAAGCACTCGGACAGTCTTGATTTACCTCCTTTGCTAAGAACATTTTGGTGATGGACCTTAAGATTCCATTTACAGGGGACCTGCGCTGAATCTCTACCTGTGGCCTGTGGGATCAGCCTACCGAAAATTCAGTTAAAGTGTCGCAGCTCCTGTTGTACTGTTAGTAACAACAGTCAACACTAAACATGTCGCAGGTATCCAGTTATTTTTCTCCCTTCATTTAAACCATGATTACTTTACATATAAGGACACCTACTTAAGCTTGATTTAAAGTTAGATAGATTGATGCCAAATAAGATTGTCTTTAAATCTGATAGGAATCAAATTTTCATTAGTTTCTAATCTTCTTATGACATCTACATTTTGTTGTTGCTTAGGATGGCTTACCAAGAACATGCCGGAGAAGCTTTAAATTCACATCCACCATGCTCCATGCAGCGTCAAATATTTTTTTGGATCAGAAAATTTGTGAAGAGCAATGGAATGGTTATCTACAGAGGAACGTTAAGACACGGGGCAGGTATATATCGAGGTTTATATAGACAAGGTTTCAAAAGAGAAAAGGCGTGTGCTTTTAAGCTAAGATACAAGAACTTTGGTAAGAGTTTGGGTTGATGTGATAGCAGTAACTTGAGTGCTTTTGTTACAGAATAGACCATTGGAGAAAATGTTGAAACTTGGTTCAATTCTTCATTGGCTTCGACATGGAGCCAAATGCATCACCAACTGTGCTCAAATCAATAAGGTCAGCATGTCAATGAGCGCAAGATTCTTTGGAGAGATTTAACTCACTTTGTTCTATGTGTCCTGTTGATTGGTTTTCTACTTCTTTATTGAAAATCTGACAGTGTTTTAATGTTTCAGATCTTGACTGATGCTGCTTTGTTGAAACTACAAAAATCAGAGATAGAAGAGTTACGTATGAAGCTTGAGGTATTATCAACACTTTATGTAAAATACATAATAGGGAGGGAAACCATACTAGCGTTACTAAATTTTGTAGGGGATTCCATTCTGAAGTGTTGGAACAAGAAATATTGAAGTTAAGCAAATGCTTAAGGTTTCTTTTTGCGCTTTTTTCTTGTGTATGTATTCAATAGAACAATGAGCAGGCACAGTACTAAACATCTACTTTTATATTTGATGCCAGTATGAGTCAGAATGTGAAAAGCTAAAATCACAATTGGAAGAAGTGAGAGCAAAACAGAAGGACCAGGAGAAATACATCAAGGAGCAACAGTTGAAAATTGTGAGCTTAAACAATCGTATCCTTAATTCAGATTTTAAGGCGAACCAGTCAGAGGTACAGATGCATGTTTGCATTCATTGGTTTAAAACAGATCTTCTGCATGATGGTTCTCAACCATTAAAAATATAGTGCTTAATTGGAGTGCATGGTTTATCTTCTTGCTGAGAACTATCATTTCGAGGAAAACAAACAAAGTGGTAAGAACTCACTTATGCTTGCATACCACTACATTAATATCACTGAAAAATAAAAAAACAATTTAAAAAAATTTGGAAGTTGTTTAGACTTTTAAAATGAATATACAGTTGTTAGATATACTTGAATATGCTTTGATAGGCAATAAACGAGGAAGAAGCTGGAATAACATGGTGTCAATGCTTTGATAGGCAATGAATGAGGAATAAGCTACTGTGTCAAGAAAGAATAACATGGTGTCAATCTAAAAAGGGAAAGAAAAGAGTAGCAGTGGGTTTTCACACTATCAGTAAACAACCATTTTTTGAGATTAGTTGGATCATATGTTCACTTACTCTATGTACGTTTTAGCCAAGGAGACGGATAGTTAATCATTTTTACTTCAAAAACAAATTTGAAAATGTTTGCTTTCATTCGTAAATAACTAAAAAGATAGATACTGGATTAAAATATAATTATTAAAATATAATTAATTAAGGCGTAAGGAGTTTTAAAACAAATAACTTTTTAAGAACCAAAGTTTCAAAGGATTAAGAGTAGGTTGTTATTCAAAATATACGAAGATACCAATTAAGTTACGACTTACATTTTACAGTGCATATAGTTTCAGTTCACAAAATTCTTAAAGCAAGGGAAGATGATGAGCATGAAAACGTTGTGAGTGTGACAGTGTAAAAACCGGACGAAAACATAAGTCAACGTTTCCACCTTTCAATTTCAACGAGATTTAAGATGCTTTTCAATGAACAAGTCACAATGTTGAATAAAAAAATAAGCATGTGAAATAATGATTTGGTCGAATGTGTAGAAATAAAAGTTGGGTGCAAAATATAGTTGCGAATATAATATCTAGAAGTGGAAACATGTAACACAGCTAATCAAAGAAAAATGAAAAATAAAGTAGAGTTGAGGAATAAGAGTGTTCATAAGAGAACACAAATTACTAAACCAGGAATAAAACATTAATAGACTAATTCAAATGGGACACAAAACATCAAATTTGATGTAAACTCATCCCCAATAAAATACATGACACTATCCCACCAAATTTAGTTTAGGGTCAATATTGTTACACCAAATTTAGTATAACGCTATTCATCATACCAAATATTTTATATACATATTTGATTATGTTTCATTTAATAATATATTTTAACTATTATCATTATTTCTTTTTTAAATTTGTAACTAAACAAAAATATTGTATTATTTGTATTTTCAGTTACTTTTACATAATTACAATATTTTTAATTTTATTTTGAGTACGAAATCACTAAATGACTATTATCATTTACTTTATATTTTTTTCAAAAATAAAATATCATAGAAATTTTAATAAATAATTAATAGTTATGTAATATAATTTTGAATATAATAAATAATTTATATAAAATAATTACATAAAATTAAATATTGTTAAATCAAAAATATAAATGTAAATAAATTTATTATTATAAAATTAGAAAAATAACAAATATAATATTAAGTGTGATAAAATAATTATTTATCAGTTACAAATAATAAAAATATAAAATTATTCAAAACTTAAAACATCAAATAATTTTAATATTACTTTTGGTGTAATATTTGATATCATGGTTGGAAATGACAAAAAAAATATGATACCAGAAAATTACATTTGATGTAATTTCAATGTCAAATTTGGTGTTATGTTTATTTATTTTTATTATTTTATGAAAAACAGCAGAAATACAAACAATAACATAAAGCGAACCTACAAAACTACAATTATTAATCACTATACAAATTGTGTAATACAAACATAGAATATCTTATAAATATACATATATATAATATATGAGATAAGTAAACTATTAAAACAACAGTGAAATTATACACATAAAATAAAGTATAATAACATAATTTATATATTTAAAATTATAAATTTAAAGTAGATAATCCGCGCGTAGCGCGAAAAAAGAATCTAGTTACTATATCAAATATTACACCAAAAGTAATATTAAAATTATTTGATGTTTTAAGTTCTGAATAATTTTATATTTTTATTATTTGTAACTGATAAATAATTCTTTTATCACACTTAATATTATATTTGTTATTTTTTCTAATTTTATATTATTAATAACAAATATAATATTAAGTGTGATAAAAGAATTATTTATCAGTTACAAATAATAAAAATATAAAATTATTCAAAACTTAAAACATCAAATAATTTTAATATTACTTTTGGTGTAATATTTGATATCATGGTTGGAAATGACAAAAAAAAAAATATGATACCAGAAAATTACATTTGATGTAATTCAATGTCAAATTTGATGTTATGTTTATTTATTTTTATTATTTTATGAAAAACAGCAGAAATACAAACAATAACATAAAGCGAACCTACAAAACTACAATTATTAATCACTATACAAATTGTGTAATACAAACATAGAATATCTTATAAATATACATATATATATATATATAATATATGAGATAAGTAAACTATTAAAACAACGGTAAAATTATACACATAAAATAAAGTATAATAACATAATTTATATATTTAAAATTATAAATTTAAAGTAGATAATCCGCGCGTAGCGCGGAAAAAGGATCTAGTTACTATATTAAAAGGAGAATAAGGAGCAAAAATAGCATGTCCACGTTGACAATAAAAATCTACCAGTTAGAACATTTAATTTTGCCACATCCCAATTGATTTGTGTTTTTTGGGATTTTATTTTTTTGATCCGTTTTGTTTGATTGTTTTGGCTCATTAAAACCCTAAAAACTGAGCCATAAACGAAGAATCCCGTATCCTTTCGTGCTCTGTTCACTACAAGAAAACTAAGAAATTACTAGGAAATTTTTACTAAGAAAATAATTCCTCGTAAATTTACTACGAAGTTAGTACGGTTTTACAAGGAAAACTTGTTTCCTCGTAAGGTCCTCGTACAGCTACGAGAAAAAAGTTTTCCTCGTAACACCGTAGTAAGCTTACGAGGAAACTACGTGGTAAAAGTTCATTTCCTCGTAAGCTCGTAGTAACAAACTTTCCTCGTAAAGTCCTAGTACACTACAAGAAATGTGGGTTTTAATAGCATCGTATGATAGCGGTTTTTTCAGTCATGCTATTGTATATCAAGGCTTGCCTTTTGTATAGCGTTTGTCTTTCTGAAACGCTATTTTCGTTATCGCGGGAAAATAAAAATGTTTAGCCGCGTTAAATTTCTTAGTGTAGGCGGCTTACCATTGCAAAAGTACATATAAA